CACCTGGCTAATTTTTGTATTTTTAGTATAGACAGGGTTTCGCCATGTTGGCCAGGCTGGTCTCGAACTCCTGACCTCAAGTGATCCTCCTGCCTCAGCCTCCCAAAGTGCTGGGATTACAGGCGTGAGCCACTGCATCTGGCTGGCAATTACATTTCATCATAAGTTTTGGTGGGGACACTCAAACCATAGCAATATCCCACCTTTCGAGCTCTTATACTTTGCACAACTCCTTGAGACACATAGGGAAGAAGGAAGGCCCTTTTTTTCATAGCCTAAATACACTGTGAATGAACTCCCAGGTCTGTTTCTGGGTCTCAGCTGACACAGGCTAGACTTTACAAGTGAATCCAAAAGTTTATGGCTTAAACCCAGTGGAAGTTTATTCCTCTGATTTATTAATAGTGCAGGGTATTTGGGTGAGTGTCTCTCCACATGGCAATTCAGGGATCCAGGCTTCTTTCATCTTGTGGTTCTGCTACTCCCTAGGGCCTTGCTCTAGTCAGCATGTTACTTAGCCAGATTCTAATCGTGGGAGGGGAAAATAGTGGGGCAGAGGCACAGCCTCTTTCTTAAAGCTGCATCTCAGAAGTGGCATATCTCACTTCCGTTCACATTCCATTGGTGAAAACTAGTCATTTGGCCACTCATTAACTGCCAAGGAAGTTGGGAAATGTAGACTAGCCATGTGCCTGGGAGGAAGGGGATAACAGGTTTGGATGGAAACGAAATCTCAGAGAGATTATAGAAACCGCCCAGAGTCACAAAACTCATATGTGGCAGGGTTTAATTTATGGGATTCACATCCCACGCACTTTTCACGATGTCACACTGCCTCCCAAGAACCCAGATAACCAAAAGGGAGAAGACTGCGGCCTTCTGTCTGCAGAGTGTTTTATAGTTTTCAAAGTGTCTTCGAGGTCACCATTTCAGCTGCTTCTCATAGCTGTTAACTTCTCTTCTCTTCCGCTTCACCTTCCTGGTCTCTACCATCCCCAGCTCTCCGTAGCTGGGCACACAGATGCGCCACCTTCAGGTGTTGCTCTTCTCTAGTTCCTGAGTGATTCCCAAACATGTTAGGTTCTGACTCTAAGGAAATGGGTGTTGAGCCTGCTTCTCATTTAGCCTAATTTGGTCCCCTGCACAGTTCCTCAAGTGACTGCCTGCTTTACCCACTGACAGTTCTGATCCTGTGACAGGGCTTTTCCCCCGGTTTCTGAGCTTGTGTGCTCCTTGCAACTCCTGCCTAGGTGCCCCCATCTTGATCCCAGTTCCAAGTTCCTCTCCTCGAAGAATGCCTAGGACTTTGATACCTTTGGAGGCTCACAGTACAACCTTGAACTGTACTCTGTACCCTTGAGGATAACAAGCTCCTTCTCCTAGGACTGGAACCAGGGAATATCTTTCTTTCCAGATTCCTTGTCTCTGGCTGGATCCCATGATGGGGACTCCATCACCTCCTGGGGAACTCTGGTGCTGAGAATGTGGAGATCTCTGTGACCTATGTTACCCTTCTGCAGGTCACCTGGCCTGATTCTAGCCTGTTTGCCTTTAATCTGCTGTGAGTTAGTACCTGTTGAGCTCTGAGATGCAATAGCCTTTTGAGATAGGCATGAACAATACAATGAGATTGTTGTCATCGCTCCTATTTTTACTGGTGAGGAAAAGATGGCTCAAAATGTTAAGTGATTTCCCCAGTGACACAACCAAGACTTGAAACCGAGTCTCTTAATCCTGGAATTGTTCACAGTAGCACAGGGAGTTATATTTGAAAGGGACTATGGAAATCACTTAGTCTAACCACTCTACATGCCCTTCATTCATCCCAACCTGTAGGAAGGAAGAAAACCTGAGGTTAACAGGTTAGCTAGAGGCACAGCACAACTGGAAGGCCAATTTCTTTAGCCCCTTTCTGTGATGTTTTGCCGCTTCAAAAACTGTTTTGAGTCCTGCCCTTGTCTCATTGCAGAATTTTCCTCTGAAAAGCTCCTGATACCTAAGATGTCAGAGGAATCCAGGGCGGTGTGTGCCAAAGACATTGCCTTATTTCTAGGGTGAGGAACAGGCAGCTTTCTTCTTATCCAAGGGGACCAAGTGCTTAAATCCAGTATTTGTGCTGAGGAGGAGTGTGTACACACGGGAGATAAGGAAGCATGTTCCAAATCATCTTGCGTATGTGAAGGCAAGGGAGTTATGGATTTTGAGGTCCTTAGGTGGGCAGTTCAGCAAGCAGGAACTGAGTCTGCAAAATTGATTACATCGAACATCAGATCAACTTTAATTTACAAGTTGCTGAGAAATGCACTTAGTCCTGACTGGGGTCAAAAGACCTTGGTTCGGCGAACCACAAGACTGCTGATTTTCTAGATGGCCTTGGGCAAGTTGCTCCACTTCTCTGTGTCTCAGTAAAATGCCTCCTTCATCCACTGCCAGATGGTTACCAAGTCTCAGATATACAATCTCTTGAGTTCTCTCTTTCTCCTTTTTTCTCCATCCCTACCGCCAGATTCTCAATCCCAAACAGACTCTTCACTGGCCTCCCTCCCTGCAGTCTGCTCTCTAGATCTGAGAATAAGAAGCCCCTGCTTAAAGCCCATGATTTGCTCTCTGTTACTGTTAGAGTAAAATGTAAGCTCACCAGCATGCCATTCAAGGCTTCCCTTTTTCTGCCCTGCATCCTCTGCTGACGTCATGATGAGTTGCATGAGGTTCCCTAGTCCTCCCAGGCTGCTTCATGCCTCTGGTGTTTGCACATGCCGTTCCTTCTTCTCTTGGCCTGCAATACTCTTCCCTCTTAGCAGTCAATGTAAAGTCTTCCACCTGCAGTTCGCTTAATCTCTCTTTGATTCTCATCTGTACTATTACCACCTCTACTTTCTTATGACAAAGCCTCATTGTAAGGGTTGCCACCTAAGCTGATGCTCCTCCGCTGCAAGCTCTAAAGCCACAAGAGCAGGTTCCTTTCAGTTTTGATGCTCTGGAAAAGAACTGGGCTCTGCCTTGGGAAAGCCAAAGGGTCACATGGAATGGGCCATGGATTAGACAGGGAGTTGGCAGGAATCAGATGACACACTCTGAGTAACAGAGGACAGTTATTAGCAGAATTATTTGAAATGGTGTGTCAGGGTTTATGAAAACCACAACGGACGGTGCAGTAGCCCAGGGCCAGTAACAATGGGGAGCTGTCACTAAACCAGACTTGAAGGGGTAGTCGCTAGTCCCAAAGGGAGAGCCATGTAGGGAAGATCATGCAACAGGAGCCATGACCTTCATTAAGGGATAGAGACAACCTATGGTGACCTGGAAGGAATCGATATTCCAACTTTTCCCTGCCCTGGATCTCCTATGGATGCTTCCCATTGAACAAACCTAACCAGAAGGCAGAGGGCCAAAGAGCCTGTCAATGAAGTCTCATAAAGATAAGCTTCTTAGGACATGGATCAAGGTGGAGAGTGAATCAGGAGAGGTGGATCTGGAAGAGATCCAGCATCATCCATAAGCAGACCCATTGGAAACAAATCTTGCTGGTGAGACCCCTACTGCACAGGGAGCTCAGGCTCTTTGTGGGTTTGGTTTTGGAGCCCAGGGGAAGCCATGCACCCAGTGGAATGGAGTTTGAGGTGCACAGTGGTGATGTCCCTCTGGCCAGAGCTCAGGGATAAAACTGCCAAGTGTAGGCATCTTGATTTGCAGAGGGGCTCAAAAGGGTGCTGAGATTCTGGACTCTCTGATGCTGCTTTGTGTTCACTCTGTGGATCATCACCTCTTGTGGCCTTGCCTTGGGGCTGCTGTGGTAGGCAGGGAGACAGGTGGGTACTTGCCAGCTATCTGATGGGGAGGCATCACCAGACACTTGCGTCCTCTTTATAGATAGGGACAGCAGGACTTACCACCTCATCTTCTCTGCCTTGAACTTCACACCCTGGAATGGACACCTCCAGGGCAGGCTAAATACAGTGTTGCCCACAGGGCTACAAAAATTTCAGGTGCTAGAATTCTAGAATGGGGACTGCATCTCATAGAAGAGCAAGAGCCAATGAAGTGGACATGTCTTTTTTTTTTTTTTTTGCTGCTCAGCATTCATTCCCTCTTCTGGTAACAGTACCCTGGTTTCCTCTGGGGCTCCTCTTTCCCA